TGAAAAAGCAACACAAAACAGCTCAACACACACTGCAGCAGATGAGCATGTGTTTGGGACTCCAGTTAGCTTTTAAACAGGGGGAGGAATCAGAATTAAGGACTACAGAGAAAGCAGAACATCAGATAAAGGAGGCGGAGCTTTGCTGGACAAATGGGACAGCAGAGAAACAGAGGAGGCGGGTCTCCAGGGCCACACAGATAGACACCTCCACTGTACCAGTGATTAAGGAGAATTTAAAGTGACACCCCCGTCCCATTGCACACTGACCTGTGTATTACACTTTAAACATTGAGAAAACCCTCCCCATGTCAGTAATGGTGCATGTGCTGCCGGGGAAATGTTAATTCATGCCACTGCATACCTGGGTATGTGGTATGACAATAAAGCCTGATAGGTCAAGAATGGACAGAGTGCCACTTCCCGATATTATCTGGAATGTCACCTGACCCCTGACCTTCTGTGTGTTGCAGGACTGGCAATGGCTCTGTGAAGGTCACTCTTTCTATATGACTGTATGCTGGTCTCCAGAGTGTCATGCAGTAATGGACTGGAAGTGTGAGGATAAACAGCAGGCAGGTCATCGGTGTTTACCGCAGAAAATGTCTTCAAAGCCTTATTTCATATTTATTGTGTCGGTTTTGCCTCATGGGGCACTGTGCAGCTCAGTGGGGTAGGATGGTAGGATGCCTGTGATTGGAAAGTGGCCGACTGAAATCCCAGCTCATGGGAGTTTTACTTACAGAAAACTGTTCTTAGGGCACGAAAAATGATTCGTTTTTGGAGATAACCAATCAGATTCTAGAGGAGGTGGGCCCAAGCCACTAGAGGAGGCAGGACCAACCAATCAAATGTCTTGACCTGCCTCCTCTAGTTGCTTGGACCCACCTCCTCTACAATCTGATTAGTTATCTCTCTGAGCCAATCATTTTTCAGTCTGCCCTCAGAACAAATTTTCAAAAAAAAAAACCAAATAAACAAATAAAACAAATAAAATGTAGATAATATCAAAGCAATGCCAACACTAAAAAACACCTAATATCAACACTGATAAGAACTGTTACAGGTGACAGAAAAATCTGTGCATCTTGCTAAATCCCAAGCTGCAAACGCCATCCCTGCCAATGGGTCAGCTCACGGTCCGGACATGGCCTGCATCAGCACTGCATCATTGCGACATACTGCTTGGCTCTTTGCACGTTCCATCCGCAGAGCCCTCACTATCCACCACCATTACAAGAACTTCTCTTTGGAAACCTGGAGGAGAATGTGACAACCCTGGTGGCTGTTAGCGTGTGAGGGTGGGTGGAGGGGGCGGTCTACATGGCCTTGTCTCTTGATGCCTCCCCCCTAAGTACTACTTTGGGTGACATGGCCCACCCCCCCTGCACACTGAGACACCCTAAATTACAGAGCAGAGCGGCCCTCAAGGGTAGCTGCCCCGCCCCTGCCAGGGAGCCCAGCTGTGCCGTAAGCAATAACACATCCATTCATTTAGCAGTCACTGCGGTCCCAGATTAAATGCGAGATGGCTGCTCACTTTGCTATTTGCAGAGGCACGGAGGCACATCCAAAACAGCAGCCTCATCTTCATCGAGAAAGCACTCCGTGACATCGGCAGAATGTGCACATCTTTGCGAAGCTCCACGCCGCTGTCGGAATGCCGCTGACACGCTACAGACGTGATCATATCGACGAGGAGTGGCGAGAAAACATTCACCTGCCATGTTACCCTGCTTCCATAAACAAAAACAGATGGAAATTCGGCAATCGATATCTATTCCGGACATTGGATGAGACACTGGGTTCCATTTTGCGGATGATCACGTTGCCATGGCAACTAATCACCTGTCCCTGCCAACTGCCGTTTCAGTTAATGAAGTCCAGCTGGCCCTGATATGACTGATTTGAATTTCAGGGACAAACATGGGTAGCTGGACAGAGGGGAGCCAGATCACCCACAATGTCCAATTTTGTTTAGAGTCTTTGCGTTATTCTGTAAAACCTGTTTAGCTATTTCCAGAGCCTTAGTGTTTTGCGTCACTATCCTGACTGCTTGAATTCAGCCAATGAAACAATACTGTCCCAATTAATGTGTCATTTGTTGAATAAAATCTTCCGTTCTTTGTACTGTTTCCAGCATTTCCAACCACTAGCTTCTGACCTACAATCATTATTCAACAGACATATTTTTAAAGAATACACAAATAGAGAGTGGAACTAAAGCACTTTCGTGAATAAACACCGGACTGGATCTGGTTGAGGGAGTGACCCGGCTGCACATTTCAGTGATATATCAATCGCAAATATGGTAAGACAAAAAATATTAGATAACTTCACATCTAATAACAGTAGCAACGAGACCATGCACAATCTTCCAGACCTGAACCCATATATAAAAACAAGAATAAATCAGCTCAATTTGAAGCACAACAGCTGAATCATTTTGCATGTTGATGAATGACACTTGATAATAATGACAAATAAAGCCTATTTCAAAATAAATATATCAATATTTATGAGTCCTGGTACATTGCTGTAACCTTTATATCGCGAGTTTTATATATGTTGCACAAACATTCAGCAGTTATTAGAGAAATACATTCCGTATTTGCATAAAAACACACCAACACATTAGAAATCTCCCGTTTGCTCTGGGCTGACTCAGTACATCCCAGCTTTCTGACAGGAAGCTATTAGCATCTTGGCAATCGTTACGGATTTACTCTGGCTGAGCGAAAAAAAAGGCTGAAATGACAAAGAGTCACATAAAAGTGTGTTTTGTTAGACTGGTTTAACGGCTATAATAAGAAAATGAGGCTCTTGTAGAAACAGTATTATGACGGACGAATCTAATTGGAAATTCACAGTAAAATTTTATTTACCAAGTATGGGCTGCATCTTAATAACCCTTCTGTAAATATCAATTAAGATGGAAGTCATTCAGTGCACCTTTAACTCCTATAAATGATTTAAGAAGACAGTCTTATGGCACCATAATTTGCCTCGCCGATCTTGTTGTCAGAGTTTGTTGCTGATAGGAAGATTTATGTCCGCTTGTTTACATTTTGCACAACAGAAACGTAACTGATAGAAGGTTAACTTGGATTTATTTAACAAAACAGGTTCTTGGGCAGCGTTTGGCCAATGCTACTCTGTGCGCCGATTCTTAAAACATCCACATCTGAATTCCCTGAATATCTGAATTCCGAAAGCAATTTTCACGAGGAACACTGTGAAATTGCACAACACAGCAGAATCCCACCTAAAGCTCTAAAGGGGAGTCCTAGGATGGTTACAAACTGGTCATTAAAGATTCCACAAAGATACCACACTTCTACATTTATCTGCAGATGGCGCCGCCCTGGAGGCTGACCGCGAAGCATCATCTGAAGATAAACTGCAGAAGTACAGCTTGAAGGAGGAGCAGTGAAAGGGAGAGGAAGTTCCCTGTCTGCGGTAAGATGGGCCACCACAGTGACGGCAAGAACCAGGAACCCGCCTGCAAGAAATGACGCGCGTTCCGCAGGCTTCCAATCGCACTATTACCACCTGTACTGTACTTATTCACTCACTATTAACAGCAAAAAACCCTCTGGTGGATCAGTAAAGGTCCGTCTCATCTCATTTTACCTTTCGAACTTATAATTATATGAATTTTTAAACTCCAAAAGGTCTTTCTAAGGCACTGATTCCTTTAAATCAGAGCTAGATAAGATTTTAACAACTTTGAGCTATTAGTTAAGTTCTCCCCAAGCGAGCTCGATGGGCCGAATGGCCTCCTCTCGTTTGTATAGTTCTTATGTTCTTATGATTCCCACATGGAGTTAGCAGAAAAGGAACAGAAATTTGCCATGTGATTCCGCCTTTCCTGTCAAATGCCTCGTGTCTCCGTAAGAGAAGAGAGACAGAGCTGCCAGTGTCCTACATCAGAGGTGAATCAGCTGCCAGAGCAGGGAAAAGCTGTGATAAAAGCAGGTACTGCGATACTAAAGTTATACTACAGGTACAAGACCAAGTATAAGGTTTATGAATTAACTTGATGGCAGGGCCTCTGGGGGCGATTAAACCACCGTCAATGTGTGGTAGACAAGTAAGATAACTCCACAATTATGGTGATGCCCTCTGCTATGACACTGACAGGACAATCCAATCAGCTGCAGGATCTTGCCTGCACCTTCCTACCACAGGTTACCTCCCGTTAAGGAACGTCTAACTTGCTCCCCGCTAAGCTTATTATTTCAACCTGCAAGACTCATCTCCGCTGGGATTATTTCATTACTCATCACCGATGATGTTCTATAGGAATCTTCTGAGCCTAATATCTGCATGAGGCTTCCAGGCCTCTCCTCACCCTACCATCGCCATCACTAACAGTTCCCACAATCCATCACACCGTGGAAACCATATCAGCAGAACAGAGGCAAATTCGGGCTTACCTGTACAGCATCCACGGTCAAGGTGAACCCCAGCCGGGCGGACATAAACAAAACAAAACAGAGAGAGAGAGAGACATTTCCATTAATTTTTATTCACTCAGTGGGATTTATAGTACAAGTATACCAGGTATTAGTGAAAAATCCACATGCTTGCCTGAAAGAGTAACAGTTAAACGTGTTCAGCGATCACTTTGTGCACTGATGAACAGGAGACAGTGAGCAAGGTGCCTTTGCTCAGACACAAACCCAAGCAGGAAAAGGGCGGAGCCTGCAAACGTGCAGCTTGACTACAGCGTAGGCACCATGTTGGGAACACATTGCGCCCTTGGGCCACACCTGAGTCAGAAAGCTGCCAATTAGCATGCTTCGCATCGTACACGGTTAAAGGCAGTGCGCCAACAGACAGAGGCAGCGGCACACCAGAGTTGGACCGCGCCAACGCACGGTGCCCAGTCATGGGCGCTGTCCTCCAGTGTGTTAGTGAGCCAGGCACAGTGCCCCACCCTGGCGGGGCCCCCGACACAGCCATGCTCTGAGCGAGGCGCTCGGCCCCCCACCAACCTTCCTGCTTGGAATGCTCTATGCGTTTCTTGATTTCCTTCCCCGAGATCACCGGGGGCACAGGGGCATCTGGGAGGCGGGGGACGAAGGGCGGGGCCGCAGGGTTCAACCCGGAGCGGGGGGAGGATTGGGTGAAGGCTGGAGGGCTATGGGGAGGGGACCGCTTAAACCTAGGGGGGGACGAGGGGTCCTTGGTAGGCCGGGTCTTCTTCGGCGGTTTCTGCCCTGGGGATCGAGGCTCTCCTCGTTCCATCGGAGGTATTTGTCCAGGAGAAGACGAGGGTATCAGGTCTGGGGAGGAGGTACGGGGCCTGAGGGGACCTGGGATGGGGACAGGTTCTCCTCTGAGAAGGAAGGGCTTGTGATCTAGTTCCTCAGGGGTTGTGCAGGAGAGGTCTTTAGTGGCATCAGGAAGGAGGGCTACTTTATCCATGGGGGCATCTGAGTCAGAGGCTGGGGTCTCTTTAGGGAGAGCGGGGGGCTCCATCTCCAACCACTCTGCGACGGAGATGGTGTTCAAGGGCCCCTGATCACCCAGATCATTTTGGCTCTCTTCACTGGAGGCCGGTTTGCTGTCAGGGGTCTGAGGAGCCACCTCAGGAAGAAATGATGTGAACGTGCCTCCGGTAAGTAGATCTAAGTCAAGGGAGAGACTGTCTCTAGCTGTGGCCAGGCTGAAACTATCAGGCACTTCCAGACGAACCAGGGCAATCTCTCGTTCAGGACTGGCATTTGCAGGTGGTGAGCACTGGTCTCCCTGAAAAGGGGACATCGGCAGGGGGGAGGCCTTGGGATGCAGTGCGAATGGAGGGGGCGATGAAACGCCTCCCGTGAGACACAGCAGGTCCTCAGCCAGGGAGGTAGGCAAGCTGGGAGGGGGGTACTCGTCCAGGCCGTGCGTGAACGACGAGGCTTCTGTGGAGGAGAGGAGCTGTTCCTTCAGGCTTGGGAGATCTTCAGGAGCCAGAGGGAAGGCGACGGGTTCTGCTGCCAACTCCTGCAGCTGAGACTCTAGGGGCAAGGCCCATTCCTCGGGGATCTTCTTCCTGTTTTTGCCCTTCTTGACTCGGGTAGCACTCCTGCCTCCCTCTTCACGCTCCCAGCCACCATCTCTTCGCAGAGCGTTCCTGCGAGCGTTGTCCACTGGGGCGGTGCCTTCAGACTGAGTTTCCAGTGAACTACGACCGTCACCCGTGTCGTACATGTCGTCCCTGATCCTCCTTTTCTTCTTCTTCTTCTGCTGCTGCCTGCGTTCTGAGACCTCCCCCTCCCTCTCCTCTAAGGCCCCTGGCCCCTGGAGACACTGGGGGTCCCTCGGCTCCTGGGGACCATCAACCATCTGGCTGGCATGCCGGCTGATCACCGTGGAGACGCTGGGGGTGAAGGGGAGCTCTGCCCGTAAGCCCACGTCGCCTCCCCAGGGCTCACCCCAGACTGCTCACATGCAGAGAAGGAAGGGAGAGTTATACTCACACAACAACAACCCCCCCCATCCCCCCCCCAGGTGATGGCCCACACGCCATCAGACCCATATTCTCACCACGTACCGCTTTCTGGGATTACATTACAGGTAGAAATGCCCCCCCTATAGCAGGAAGACATGTTTACACTTCCTGCCAGCTGACCTTGGACCCCGAGAGGTTTTTTTTTCCCTACTTGGGAGTTTTTGGTTCCTCTCCTCCGTTGTCTTCTGGCTTTCTTTATTCAATTTCTTTCCTTCCTTTTTTCCCCGTTCTGTATCTCTCTCTACTTCTGTTTCATGTATCACAACACAACCCTGTAAAGGGCTTTGGGACAACTGTTGCGAAAGGCGCTATATAAAAATAAATTGAACTGAATTGAATATGTACTTAATTCTAGGTACATTTGGCAGAGAGAACATGTCTTGTGCGGAGAATGGTTTGGACTTGGAAAGCTATGTGGGGTAAGCAATCGGGAGAATTTAAATGACAATAAATGTCAGGAAATGGACGAGTGATAGGAAACAGGTAACACTGACAACAGGAAATGGGTGACAATAACAAAAGAATAGGGACAGAATCTATAGACCAGCCTGTGAAAAACATCTGGCGTGCAGGTATTACTACCCCCACTCGGAGAAAGAGCTCCGATCTTCATCGTGAAGACTATCGATTAAGACAGCAGCGTTAACGGACAGTAATTACGGAACTCCACTCGCTGAGAGCTGACAGGTGGGGCTTCGATAAAAACATTCCGGCCAGATGTTACCGGGAGAGAGACGTGACTGAATAGAGGCATGAAATAAAGCAGAGCGGGGGAGGAGGCTGTTAGTGAGGGCCAGCGGAAAACAAAAGCCCGGACAGAGGAGGCGGGGAGGTCATGTGACGTGGGCCGCCCAGCACCGGCGCCCTCTCAGGCCACACAGAGCAGCGCAGTGTCCAGATCAACAACTGCTGCCATTGTCCCGGCACGCATCTCGCATAATCACAGCGCGTCACGGCGACCAATCCCAGCACTATTAACGCTAAAAGACAACATAAACACGTACAAATACACCAATAACAGTACTAAGCATACAGTCTTAGCATGTTCAGCCAATGCTGCCTGATATGCTCCTCTCTGGCACCTTATTCTAGATGCACATTAGGAAGATTAACGGATGGACACCAGTAACTGACACATGCAACTTAACAATGACTTGTTTTTGTGCTGAAAATCCTAAATACGCCTCTAAACAGGTAAATGCCCAATAAAGGCAAATTTGCGGAACTAAAGGAAAAATTAACATCATTCACTGTAGTGCTTCCTATTCTGAGGGGTAACTGGCAGCAGAGCACTGGGGGAGTTTCGTCTGCTGGGGGAACTAGCTGGCCTTCAACACGGGACTCTGCAGAGCTGTGCTAGTCTTTGTCCTGGACAAAGTCCCCTGTGCCGAGCCACAACCCAAACTACACAACTAACATCCATTTTGGCTAATTGATAATGCCGGCCTTGCATACAGTGCCACCTGGTGGAGGAGGTCTTACATTACAATGCAATGACCGTGAGAGTACGGCTTTTATGTTAGAAGATAATAAATGCCTGAATACAAAAAAGCCAAAAACTAGCCCTCATCATGGCAGGAGACAGCTGGAATTCAGACAAAGTTTTTTTTGCCTGGTTGCGTTCTTCAAGGGTTTAGGACTTCAGGTAAAACGTGTGACAGTCACAACAGGAGATGTTCTGAAGCTCTGATTTACCTGATATGGGATCCACAGTGTGTCCAAAGATTCCTGCCTCACCCCTGTCCTTCGGTGATCCAGCCGCCGTGTCCTGGTCGGTGAGTGATGGGGTGGGTCTCTGGGGGTCCGCAAGTGCGGGGGGCCTCTCCATTGAGAGCAGAGCCACCCCCACATCCAAGTTCATTGCTGGCCCCGGTTGAGAAAAGTCTGCGAGACAGAGATACGCGGAGAATGCAGTTACCGTGCCAGTGAAGGGAGGGCGTGAGGACCTTCAGGACACGAGCAGGCAGAATGGAGCGGAATGCACCAATCAGAGAGGGCGTGATTCCGGAGGAGGCCTCACCGATCTCTAATATGCAACGTCCATATACGCAGCCTCATAGAGGCAATGTTACACACGGTACTCTGCAAAAACAAGCTGACAATATACCTGTCAGGCCAGTGTCCATCTGCAGAGTGGTGGCGTGGGTGAGCCACTGTTCAGGAAAGCCCCCTGCTGGCCGGTCAAGTGAATGACAAGGAGAAAGAGAGGGTGGCGGGAGAGGGGGAAGGAAAGAGAGAAAGAGAAACAGTGTGTGTGAACAAGAGAATGATGGAGAGGGGGGGACAGAGGGAAAAGGAGGAGGAGACAGAGAAAAGGGGGGAGAGAGAGAAAAAAGCAGAGACAGAAAGGAAGGAAGGCAGAATGAGAGAAAGGCAGAAAGAAAGTGAAAGGAAAAAGAGCAGAAGTTCAAGTTACAGGAGTCAGTGAGCCTATGGGCGAGACAGAGGCAGAGGCAGAGCCAGACTCTGAGGCAGGCAGGGGTAAGAGGCTGTGATACCGGAGCTCTCTCTCTCTCACCGTATGACTGGGACATTTTGGGAAAACCTGGGATAAGCGGTGCACGCCCTGGACCCCGTGCAGAGTTACCTGGAACGAAGTCTGGCGCGAGGACCTGTTGCTCCTCCAAATGGTTTCTCTCCTCCCCCTTTGTTCCTGAGTGCCGCGCTGGTGCCCTTCCCCCGGGTGTCACCGCTACACCTGCCGGACGGCAACGCCGGTCAATGCACGTCGGTTCCACCGCCTTCCCCGGCCTGCCAGCCAGCCCGCCGTTACCCGTGGTGATACTCGTCGTAGTAAACATAAACACAGGCTGAAATCACTTACAGTAAATCATAAATCACCCTTTTATAATCCAAGCAGGAGACGCAATCTGGTGACGTCGTGTATATTTAGAGTCCGCACTGCACCACAATGTTCCTCCTGCCCCCGCAGGTAAGCGTGACTTAGGTCCAGATCAGCATTTGGGCTTGGAGCAGACCCAGACGGTCATGCCGGTTCCCTTTCAGTCCTCACTCTATGAGCATCTGGGTGGACATCGTCGGTATCATCCTCAAAGCTAGCTGCCTCCAGCCCGAAGAACACAAGGATGGCGACTGAGGGCGGCTGACTCGGGACGACATCCAGTGGTGCTCCATCTGGCTCAGGCACCAACCCAAACTGCCAATGCAACTAACAGAGACAACGGCGGCATCTTAAAGGGACGCTGAGATGATATCAGGGGAGACTGATTTAAAGGCGACTCAATCCTCAAACAGATGAGCGTTCCGCCTCTGATTCTGTTGAGGGTCGTGTCCCTGAGTAGATTGAAATTTAAAAAGAGATATCACAATGGCTTTTGGATTGTCTCTCTTCTGATAAAGAAAGGTGTGGTGAGGGTGTTTCCAGGGGCAGGCCTGGGGACACAGGGCATGCAGTGCTCAGCCCAGAAACTGTCACACATCATAACATGGTCACACTGACTGTAAAAATGACTGTGAAGAAAGGGCTGGCACTCTCGGGGTTTAAGCCCCACCCCTGGCACTGCCCATGGGAGGTCATGGCCCCTGGATATTTCAAATGGGTTGACTTGAAATGACCAAGGAGATGTGGATTTGGCCACATCTCCTAGATCCACCTTCCTTCTTATCTCCCAGAAAAGCCAAAATCTGTTATCTTCTCCCTGGGATGGTCTGCTGGTTTGCTCACGTTTTGCTCCAGTAAACTAAAAGCCCAGGTCAGCAGCTGTCTGAAGATCACTTACCCTCAGCACATGACTGAGGCCCAAACTGTGTGCATCAATTTCCCCTTAAACTTCCTCACCTTTTCCGCTTACGTATCCGCAATGCTGCCCCAGTGCCATTCAATTCCTAACTGGTAATCACGGTAACCCTCAGTCACTAGTCTTCCACATTCTGTTCTGTTAAACTGTCCTAGCCAACTAGGCACAATTATTCAAGAAAAATATGAAAGCATTTTATTAATAACTTTCTCAATAAATTAATAAATGTCTTGATAGCCCCGGCTTTGTTTATCGAATTACAGGAACAAACCAAACTGGCCGACCCACTAGCGGCTGTCGCTATCCATGGTCCTGAATTGTAAAAACCTGTGCAAAAAGCTGTGAGCTTCAGACCCCCCCCCCCCCAATCATGTCTTTATTACACTGTTTGACACTTTCATTCCCTGCTAAGTCAACAGCTTTATCCCGAATGATCAATGCAGCACCTTCCTCAGCTGGGAATTCTGCCCGGACGTATTCGGATTAGGGGCTCTTTATGATTACAGCAGCAGGAACCATCTGAGGACACAACACAGAAGAGTAACACACTATAAAAAGTAACACAACACAGAAGAGTAACACACTGTAAAAAGTAACACAATACAGAAGAGTAACACACTATAAAAAGTAACACAACATAGAAGAGTAACACACTGTAGGAAGTAACACAATGCAGAAGAGTAACACGCTGTAGGAAGTAACACAACACAGAAGAGTAACATGCTGTAGGAAGTAACACAACACAGAAGAGTAACACACTGTAAGAAGTAAAAACACAGAAGAGTAACATGCTTTAAGAAGTAACACAACACAGAAGAGTAAAACACTGTAAGACGTAACAACACAGAAGAGTAACACACTGTAGGAAGTAACACAACTAAGAAAAGTTACACAGCTCAGATTAAATTAATTTAGAGGGGGGTCCGGCAAGGAGGGTTCAAACTCGTTATTTTGCCATGTGGCTACATGCCCGGCTCAGATGGGCATCAGGAAAAGTAATGCACTAAGTAAAAATACATAACCCAGAAGAGTAACACAGCCCAAAAAAGTAACACAAATTACACGGGTACCATACTAGAAAAATAAAAGCACTAGAGAAGCACAGAAGTAAAATCAGGTATTCAGGCATTTTTTATCTTCTAACCTGAAATGTTTCTGAAAATACAAGCATAGACTCAGTGACTTTATTTCATTTTGCTGGAAGTTTTATAGCTTCTGCAATAACCTGGCTTATACTGAGCGCCCCTGAAATGGAAAGCAGGAGGCACGGTAGTCAAGGAGCTGGAGAAGCAGCAGTAAAATGCTGCAAATGGCCAAAGGCAAACTTTTTACATCCTTAATATTAGTGCTCGACTTTCCTCAGGAAATACTGTGCACTCTGGCAAAACCTTAAGCTTTTTAAGTGGCTTAGGATGACACGGAGAAATGAGTGTATAATCTGCTATGAAGCGAGTGCCTGCTTAGCAGGAACGAAACACGATGGTACTGCCTACTGCCACTGCTTACTGAAGAGGCATATGCTGAGGCTGCGGAGGTAAAATAACACGGAGGAGAGACAGAAAAAAAAAACAGCGAAGAAGAGAGAGAGAGAGAGAGAAATATATGGTTCCAAAGAAGGAGAGAGAGAGAAGGAGAGAGAGAGTAAGCTCTGCTGTCAGAATAATGTGAACTCTTTCATTCACAACACTGGTAAAAATAGACGGGTCACTAAAGGTGGAACTCCTCCCTTTGCAGTCTTGACTTCCAGACAGGCTGAACCCCCCCCTCATGCTCCTTCCTGTCTGACCCATTTTACCTCTCTCTGGTGACACTCAGGCACACCTGCCTCCACATTGGACCCCGCAGACCCAGAAAAGTGCCTCCATTTCCTCCTTTTTACGCCGCCTCCGTGATACGCCAGAGTCCCGTGTAACATACGCTCACACGCAAAGAGGCAGCGGGAAGGACTGCGTGAAAACAGCCAGGCAACCGCTGTCCACGTAAGAAGAGAGAGAGTGATGAAGTGCAAACGTAGACACAGCCTCGTGAGGACGTCTGGGTCCTGGGAGGTCACACGAGGACAGGCAGGGGGGTGACCAAGCAGAGCTGAATGACTCAGAGCGGGCCCTGTATTCAGAGCATGCAGTGCTGCCCTCTTCAGGTCAGCACTTCATAATTTTTTTAGTGTCATCTCTTCATGTGGGGACAGCACTGAAACATTTACACCCCCCATCAGACGGTCCAGACAGGCTCAGACTGACAGTCTCCTTGGCCCCAAACACTCTAACCTCCCCTCCCCAGAGAACAGCAGGCAGACAATTTTTTAAGGATGCCCCCCGCTGTCCATCTGGCTGACTGACTGGGACTCAGCATTGCATAACTCATAAAACAGCTATTTTTGGCATAACTACGGGGGGGTTACCGGGGTTACCAGCGGAAGGCATGCGGAGTTCTGTCTGCCCTCATTGACACGGGGCAGGGAGTCCTGAAGCAGCTCTGGTGGAGCTGTGTAACCGCATTCTCGCACATGCACTCTCATACCCTGCACTCCCGTCACCTCAGCAATGCCAACAAGAAAGCAGGAGCTACTTAACATCTACATTGAAACCTTTACTACAACCGGACAGACCATTCCAGGAACCGGGATGACAAGGATGAAGAAGATTAAAACTGACAAATCACAGGACAGAGGAAGTGCAGAGCTGTATAATTTAGCACCTTCAGATACGAATGAACGCATAAGCATGAAACCTGCACACCACTCGCCTGTTATGTATCATTTCACTGCTAATTTATTAGGAGGGTAGATGCGTCCATCCACTTCCCGCAGCCCCTCTAAAGCTGGGTGACGGCGAGCTTGGACCCCATGCCAGGTAGGATGAGGCTGGGCAGGCTGCCAGGGTATCACGGGGCATGGAGGCGTGGCCCAGATCACACACACACACACACACACACACACACACACACACACACAGGACTGTTCTGCTGTTGGAGGCAGAGTCACGTTGCACATCCAAAGGGCAGAGATCATGACTTTCCCCAGGGACATGACCCTACTGTCAGGCCAGCAAACAGCAACACCCTCTCAGCTTCCTGAGTTCCATCCCCTCCTAATCATGCAATAACCAACTGTGGCAGAGAGTCTCCAGCCCTTTTTTAGGTGCTTCACCTGGGTGCGGATTGGAGGTAGTCAACACCAGCAGAGACACCTGAGGGTGGCAGTGATGTTTGGCCAGTAGAGAGGGGAATTTATAAACACAGGATTTAGTCCGGGAGGAAAATGATGAAAATGCAGACTGTACTAGGATGTATACAAAATGAAAATACGTAAATAAAATTCCTGTACCCTTTGGAGAAGACCATGTGATATGGGTCAGGGTTTCTTCGGGAGGGACCATGTGACCCAGGTGCCCCCCCTTCTGGGAGTGCTGCCACACGCTTGCCGGAGCTGGTGAGCTTCCCACTCCACCCAGCAGCACTAGGGCATGAGCAGCTCAGGGATCTGGGGAGGGGCTGGTGGGCAGGGGGCATGGCGGGGTGGGGGCACTGGGACTGCCCCGCTGAGCACATCTGCCTGAACTGGGCCAGGCTGAGCCAAATCGGGCCAAAAGAACATGTGCCAACCTTCACATGGGCTGGAGGAGGGCAGGCCAGCGTATATGCGGCCCGAGCAGATAGAGGTGGCGGTGTGGTTCTTGGCTGCCGTTTGGTGCCCCATTACCCTCCGGAATGGCCCCTCCTCAGCTCGGGCTGTTCTCCACCTCCTTTCCCCTTGTCCTTGTCCTCCACCCCCGCACCCCCAACGACGCCATTCATTTACAACATCGGTCAGAGATACAGAATCATTTGTTCTGTTTTGAGACAGGCTAAAAATTCAGTCCGTACCAATTAACAACCATCACGTTATTAATAAGCTAAGCTAAGCTAAGAATATCAGGACACATGCATTGCTACTACTTTGAACACAAGATATTTTCACTCTAGGAAAATACATTTCTCCACAAAGCAACAAATAACATTCAAATTATGTATTAAGTGTTCTGCAAATCTGGTAGGCACAAAAAGGACGTTTCAAAGAATCCATCCATCCATTCTGGGCACACATACACAGCCTGCCTGCGGGTGTTTGGGACTGGCAGAAGAAGAATGAGAACCTGGAGGAAACCCATATATCATATTAGAATTATAATTTAATGGTTATTGTAAACACACAGTGCGCAACAACGAAATGTGTTCTCTGCATTTGACCAATATGTGACTTTCGTGACATAGCAGGGGGCAGCTAATTCAGCGCCCGGGGAGCAGTGCTTGGGGGCGGGACCTTGCTCAGGGTACCTCAGCGGTGCCTTGCTGGTCGGGGATTCGAACCTGCAGTCTTTCAATTACAAGTGCGCTTCCTTAACCATCAAGCCACCACTGCCACCACATGCAGGACATGCAAACTCCAGACAGGATATTCCTGGGGGTGTGCCTCATTCCACATGGGTCCTACTCCTCATTCCACATGGGTCCTACTCCTCATTCCACATGGGTCCTACTCCTCATTCCACATGGGTCCTACTCCTCATTCCATACCAACTTCCTTACTAATTTTATGAGTTTCAAAAACTATGGATTTTGTTCAATGTACAGAATTGTCATTTGGGCACATTACTATAGTATAGTATATTTTAACAGTTGTGACGGAGAACTGAATGGCTAAACTCAAAGGCTAGAAATGTAGTAAATATATTGACTTGACAAAAAGGTACCCAATAAATATGTCACTGTGAAATATTACTATAAACGAAATTTCTGTTTAATCCTTAAATACACAGCATTTCAGGATTACAAAACAATTTTCTAACCATATATTACTATTTAACCATGTTACTTACGGGGGGGTTAACTTGGGGGCAGAGACGGGGCAGCCTGTACCATGTTCAGACGGGTGGCTTAGGCAGAGAAATAATTTTACACAGAATCCTGTGAATGCGTTAAGAGTTTAATTTATTAGCTGAGTGTAAGAACAGACAGGATATAAAGAGCACTTTGTGTACATACACGCACAAACCTACACAATGCCCTCAAAAACAGGCGCTATCACTGAAAGAGAATCTAGAGGATTCTGGGATACGTAGCCACAAGCCCTCCCTGGGACTCCCACCCTAACCCATAACTGTAAATTGTGACTCCTGCCAACTTGTTTTTTACCCAATTCTGCCATTAACAACCTCACTGTGCTGAGGCTAAAATTTCTATTCAGCAGTTCAGCATTTTTGCTCTCAGTGATCTGTCAAATGTCCTCTCTGTCTCCCCAAATGCACTCTTGTCCGAGACAGCCGAACTGCACGTATTCTGCCCCTCAAAGGCAAACCACAGTAACTATGCTGACACCAAAACTGACAAAATAGGCTTCAAAGTCTTTTGAGCGTCCACCCGTATGTGTAGTAGGTAAGCAAATGATGATGTTTTCCTCAAAACCTGCCGTAGCTGAACTAGGATATTGGGTTACAAGACAAAATGGATGCTCAGGGACTCAATTTCAGTCATAACTTAATTTTGATTAAGTATGCAGTTATGGTGCCTTTTTACGGAAGTATGCATCTCTGGCTGGATTGCTTTGAAATTAAAATAAAAGGAAAGCAGAACGAAGGATCAAGATAACGGAAAACCATAAGTAGAAAAACAGGGAATCCTAAGTCCAGATGTAGAAGTTCTGAATCTGAAGATGGAGGTAAACTGAGGAAGGCTGACTATAAATATCACCAAGAAGTGACAACAGATGCATTAAACTGCCGAACTAAAAGACACAACAAAAAAATGAGCAAAATAACCAATGCACACATATTCAGGCACACACTCAATGGCAGGTCCACGGTTACCCTTAAATCAAGACAAGGGCAGTATCTGCCCAAGACTAGTCAAGTCTCTTTTTATGGGAGTCGTTCCAAACCGAATACTGAAGAGCCTCATGCAAGGAGACCGAAACCTCATCAGGTCAACCAGGAGCAGGAAGGCGGCTGGTCTGCCATCGGAAGTTCAGAACACCTACCTCAGAAGTTGCGTTTAATTATCTTTTGAGAAAAAACGGAATAAAAAGCTATTTTAAGCCAAGTCTTGGTCTGTTCCACTGCATATTCCAAAAGGGGGTCAAAAGTACCTCCACAGCCAACGGTTTGGATAAAATGGGAGGCGGGGGTATATTAAGCTCAAGCTGGAGAAGCTGCAGAATATTAATCCACTTCTCATTGGCTTGGTTTGCTCCTAGGAGAGCCTCTCCTACTCTTGGGAGCTACGCATGCAGAGTTGGTAAAAGTGGGCACTTTGGACGAAGTCACATGCTAAGTGAACCAATCATAACAATTAGCAATGGTGGCACCGAAGTGAGGAGATGGAATGTTCTTAATGGGGCAGAGGCGGCCAGTCGATGCATCCCATCGTCACACAGGGCTCTGCCTGCATATGGAGGAGGATCTGTAACCCAACCACAGCTGTTGGCCTACAGACTAAACCTCAGCACTGACCATGAAGGGAAATCTCAGGTTCTTTGGAAGAATCTGATATTTGTTGAGACTCTACTGAGAACCTTAAATCATTGCAATGCAGTGTGCTCACCGGAGACCACAGGTAAGTGGATAAATATATACGAAAATCAAACGTTATAATTTATTACAAGGGCCCCGGTCCGGTGCTCAATGGGACAGGATGCTGTGCCTGTGATCAGAAGGTTTCTGGTTCAAATCCCAGGGTTAGCAGAGTGATTTTACCATTGGGTCCTTTGTAACTGCTCCAGGGACTTCTAAAAAACGTGCGTCGCTTTGAATAAAAATATCTGCTAAATAAATAGTATATAAATGTATTACAATGGTTAATGCTTCCTGTTCTAAAGTTGGCCGGTCTCTCTCTCTCCCTCTCTCTTTCTCTCTGTCACACACACACACACACACAGAAAAAATGTCAAAAATATATTAAAAAGAATCCAAAGCATAAATTATGGCAAAGCAATCCAGCGCAATGTCAGCAAAACAGCCTGGAAGCAGAGCTTACTGTACGTAAAAGTTGTTGAGTGCAGACTGTAAGAGAGGAGTCAGAGCTGTGAGAGCTGCTTTGGGCAGATTTATTGTCTGAGTGCTGGGGGGGTGGGGAGGGGCTGGGATTTCGGGTGAGTGAGGTTGACCAGTCTGGGACTGAAGAGCCTGACATGACAGGAGCAGAGGCATACGCTTGAGATCAGGGTGTGGGTGATGTGGCCAGGGGACCAATGAAGGGGCGGGCAGGGAGAAAGGGGGGGCTGGGACTTAGGCATGTCAGGCAGCAAAGGGTCCAGCTTTCTTCATCTGTCCACTTCTGCCACGATCCCTTCCGACTTTACACTCTTGAGGTACAAATGATGAAACAGGGCTCATCGCACCCCCTTGTGGACACAGCTGGATCCGTAGCACATCACCCAGGGTCAGGTCTCCTGCTCAGATGAAGACAGGGACGTCAGCCACATCTGGACTCTTCGTTCCTTCAGCGTAACCCACCATCTTCCTGTCTTAATTTAATGCTGGACATGGTAGCGGGGGGGTGCTTTGGAGCATCATGTGAGGTTCACAGTCGCACCGGTGTGGCCAAATCGCCGATACGGGGCTGTGCTAGAAGATATCAGACCTCGAAATCAGACTGACAAGGTAATGTTTGCGATTCTGTGACGGGTACAGGTCAGCTCCTCACAGCTCTCAGACAGCGGCCCCCGCAGTGACCCCGTCGGTGGGAGGGGCCTCGGGGTGGGAGGGGCCTCGGGGTAGGAGGGGCCTCGGGGTTCCTATAGGTCGGGATTTAAGCGTGGCACTGAGAAGAGGAGGAAAGAGGAGACTGGGAGACTGACGAAGGGGGGGTCGAAGGAGAGGTGAAAGTCAAGCCAGCCGCAGTCTAATCTTCTACAGCGTGGATTTTGGGAAGGGGGGGCAAGCATGATCGGGAGGGGGGAAGACAGGCAGGCGAGGGGGGGGGGGGGGGAGTGAAAGGGAGAGAATAAGAATGTTGGTTAGTACGGAATCAGATTAAAGCTGGTGGATTCGCACACATACCCCACCCCCCCCCCACCCCCCACCACAGGCAGGTGGCAGTTTCCAATAACCGCTTCTAACGTCTACAGCTCATGTTCTCATTTAAGTGACCCAGAAAGCAGATCAGCTGATGTCACTTTTATCCCATGACAACAATGATAAACGGAGCGCAGGAGCGTGAGCTGAACATCAGAATGATAAGACACACACACACCTAAACTATGGCACATCAGTGCCACCCGGAGGCGACTTTGGGCTTCATCCGGAGATGCATTCAAACGTGGGCTGGCTTACTGAACTGTCAGGGGAACCGAGTTCACCGTGGGGTGAGACTCCATTCAAAAGGAAAAAGCAAAAGAGATGCTCTCCACCGTTAATCTGACACTGCACAGGGATGCCTGCGTCTCCTACACAGAGGCTGACTCACTCTTTTTATACACGGAGTAGGACCCACGTCTAAAGCATCTGAGTAACTAAGAACTTGAGCCGCACTGGAAGATTGCCTTGCTGTAAAGGCTTCAGGATAGACGTGAGCCTGGATGGGGCTCAGTCACAACATGGCAGGTGCTCGTACCTAATGACGAGGCATGAAGATGCACATTTGCATACAGTGTTCATACCCTACTTTCCGTACCCAGAGCCTCCGACTGGCATCCAAATCAGGCACAGTGATGGCGACGTGCGCTGGCTTTTGCTCTGACTGACGTCCCTCATTAATTGAGTCTCGACGATAAGGGACGCCGAGTGAATAATTCCAAAAGAAAATATTCTCAACATCTCCGGGCCTGCAGTATGTGCACACTGAGCACAGTACACGTAATCCAATCAGCCAAATCACAGAAAAGAGGGTTCATGAATTCACAGCGTGACAGCAGGGGGAGCCAGTGCACCCTGACCACCTATGCAGGGGGTGAAAAAAGCTTTGTAGTCGGGTGTAGGAGCTAGAAAATGTCACCGATGATGTCATAGCTATCCACACCTCACACTGAGACTCATGCCCAGCCCACCGCCCCGCCCCCATGCCATCGTAGAGATTTTCAGAGGCAAACAAACTCAAGGGGAGAACAAAGGAAATGTGAGAAAATGCAAAACTGAGCAGAATCAAGAGAATGAACAAAGCGCCGCTGAATGCAGACAGAAAGCTTAAGGCTTACAAGACAGAATGTACAGTCTCTGCTCTGGAGAGATCCTGACTGCCGTACACAAGGGGGTGCCATCTCACTTCTGACAGAGGAGGAAAGCGGAAGCCACCCGCAACAAACATGGGGCGTCCTCCCATTCCGCTGGCCTTAACCCTCCGCTGCACGGATCCTAACCAGATGACGCAAGTTGGTCGGCCACAAGAGGGTGAGCTTGACGATCTCATCTCACTAGAGCCACTGACAGTGACGGGTGTGATATCACCCATCCCCCTCACATTAGGTGGGGGCAGTTATTCATATCATTAAGAAGGTGACTATACTTTATAAATATATGCAGTATTTAGCTGAGAGTCTGAGGCAGGTTATAAGCAGGGACACCCAGGGTATCCATGCATTTCAGACATAGCAATTAAGTTGCCAAGGAAATTAAGGTTTTTAATACTGAAAATGAGTGCCTGGTTATTCCAGCTTTTACAGAAGTGCTAAATTTCAACCCATATTTCATACTGTTTTGTGAAAAAGCATCAACAGGTTGCCATGATTACGGACAGCTGGGTTAGACAGAACTAGACCCCAGCACTAACCAATGAACCAATCAGGACATTCGGAACATCGCCCCCATGGGAGGCCAGGGTGCCATTAATTCTGATGTCGGTCTTTGTGGATGCCGATTTTTAATGTTGATTAACGAAATGGTTTGTTATCATTTAACAATATTCACTATTTATGCTGTATATTTTGGACATGCAGAGGATCAGGCCAAGAGGTTTACCTCTGACATCAAGATCAGGGGGTAGACTGCCCGTTGTGGTGCCTATGTCCACCTGGGCCGCCTCTGTAAAATGCGGTTATTACCGTGGCTGTGTAAAATAGCGCACAGCACGATTGGATGCACACAGAACTCAATGGTACTGTATGGGCGACATGCACATTTGCGAAAGGTCCCCATCGCTCAATCAGCAGCGTGATACAAGGAGCGAAAATTAACAGGAAGCACAACCAGAGAAATTAATAAACTGAGGAGCAAAAAGGTGGGATGGAACTTAAGAAATGAAATAATGAGGCGTGCAGTCCGGGCTGGAGGGGTGCTGGTTCTTACCAGGTCCCTGCTCCCCCTTGACCTTCTGCGGCCCCTGCTTCTTCACTGAGGCTCCATCTGCTCACACATGCAGATAGACACATCTTCACCTTCCCAGGACAAACACGCACACACACACACACACACACACACACAGTCTTCACCGCTGGGCAGGCTGCCATACTCCAAAACATCTACACTACCTCCTTGAAGCCACAAAATATTATTTTGCCAATAAATCAATTATTACAACTATTGCCTCAGCTTTGCAATTGTACCTGCATCTGCAATCACACACAGACAGACAGACAGACACACATACACACACATACACACACATACGTCTTAGCATCCCACGACAAACATGCAAACATACATCTCATTCCCCATAGGGGTGCTTACAGTACCAACCTGCTCCTCGGGGACCCACACATTGATGCTCGCTCCCAGCTCCCTGGAGCAAAAATGTGGACTGTCTGGGGGTCCCCGAGGACTGGATTGGGGGTCCCCGAGGACTGTCTGGGGGTCCCCGAGGACAGGATTGGGGGCCCCCGAGGACTGTCTGGGGGTCCCTGAGGACTGTCTGCGGGTCCCCGAGGACTGGATTGGGGTCCCCGAGGACTGGATTGGGGGTCCCCGAGGACTGTCTGGGGGTCCCCGAGGACTGGATTGGGGGTCCCCGAGGACTGGATTGGGGGTCCCCGAGGACCTTTTGATACTTGTCCGAGAGTGACACTGCACGTTTACACCAAATCTTACTGCCACGATGCCCACCTCCATTCAGAAGCAGCCCGGCCTACCAGCATTTGCCTGGCTTACTGGTTTACTGTAATTCCAGAGCGGCTCATTCCCTTAGGATGCACATGTGATCTTACTGTCAGAGAGGGCAGGTGGGAAACGAGCCTTGGGCTCTTCTGCACAGGGTCACAGCACCCTGGGCTCTGTACACACGTGTTTCATATGGTCTGAGCTAGAACCCTTAAACTCCCTTCTCCCTAGCGAACTTCATTTAGAGCAGATATCCCAAGGAGATTAAGAATGGAATTAGCTGCTTCAAAGCTGGCTTGAGCAGTTCAAGTTCAATTTGAGCTAACCAGTTCATGGACACTTAACCTGATGAACACTTAACCTGGTAACTGTGATTAAGGAGATTAGAAACTTTCCAAGTCTCATTATCGATTAAGAACTTAATGAGATTGAGTTGAGTTCTCTGTTAATGTGAGTCTTTATACGCAACTGGTTAGTTGAAACAAAATCTTGGTCTGGATTTGTACTTACTTCTGGATTTGTACTTACTGAACCTGAACTTTCTACCTGTGGTTTGAACAATATCATTATACAAAGCAGACATGCTTTACTTTCCACTATTTGACTTGTGCCTGTGTTGTCGGGCAAAACAATTTAAACCTCTTTTACCTATATTCTGTAAAATCTCCTTATCCATCACCAACCTCCACCCCCCCACCCCCCACATCTGGCCCACGCTTCTCCACCCCTCACCTTCCTGCTGGCTGTCAGGATCCAGAAGTGGCACGTAGTCCATCTTGTCCACAGTCTCTCCGACCTTGTCATCAAAGCCTTCCGCCTCCAGGGCGGCGATGAAGTCCCTCTGCACAGGGGTCTCGGAGTCCATCTGCGGCACGCTGTCGCTGAGGGCATCACCCAGGTTCAGGTCTGCCATTGTCCTGGAGATGGTCACGCTGTTGCGGGGAAGCACAGGTCAAACAAAGTTATGAGGTGGCTTTCAAGGCATCCAGAGATTTACTGGATTTACTGGATACTCACGACCATTAGATCATCTCCCACTATAAGCAGGCTTATAAGCATATAAGGCAGAAGATAAGGCTGAAACGTTATGCCAGTCCATCGCAGGACACTCACACACGCAATCACAGGGCAAGGCAGAAAACTTCAACAGCGCTTAATGATTTAGAGACAATTTTGAGGTACCAGTTCATATAAATGCATTATTTTGGACAGTGTGAGGAAAACAGGCCACCTAGGAGTCCATGTAAACAGAAGAAGATGCAAACTCCACACACAGAGCCAAGGGCAAGAACTGAACCCACACCCCAGGAAAGGTGACACTGTAGTGAGCCGCTGCATCTCTTTTCAGTTCTCTCAGGAATTGTCTCCTAAAAGAAACATACAGTACTGCTGTGCTGGGACCAGGCGTGCAGACCGGCATGAAGAGGAGGCCTCTCTCCTGGTCCCAGTTTTGCGAACATTTGCCATCATACCAAAAAGGTCCACCAGGGGGCAGACTGTGCTGGGGGGCTCAGATAGAGGAAGCTGCCAATAGGCGTTGCCAGTCAGGGATGTCAAACAGAAGGCTCATAGAAGAGCGTTTAGTTGGTAATAAAGGTAAGGTCACAATCTAATAAACCTGGCAGAGATTGGGTCCTAAGAATGTGATGCAATAAGCCTAGCAGAGATTGGTTCCTAAGACAGTGATGTAATAAGCCTGCCAAAGATTCATTCCTAAGAACACAATGTAATAAGCCTGCCACAGGTTGTTTCCTAAGACAGCGATGTTATTAGCCTGGCATAGATTGGTTCCAAAGACTGATCCTGATCTGCCCAATTCTGGCCTAAACTCACAAGGCTCCTTCTTAACTCTTCTGTCTGGCTCTCCCTAAACCCTCAG